AAAATTTAGCTTTGGGACGACTAAAGAGAAGTAGTTTTATCCATCAGGCCAAACAGCTCGGCAGACAAACCACTGATTTACCTGCAACTGATAGATCCTTAAATGCTGTCCCAGAACGGACCCCCTGGAGAGAGGAGTATAAGTTTCCAATACACATCAAGACTGAAGTGAAAGGGGTATTTGACAAGGAAGAACAAAACAGTGTGCAGCGCAAAACAGCCACCCTCAGTTTACTTGATGATAAATACCCGCAGAACCTTTGGGTCCGTGTTTACACAGATGGGTCAGCAGAAAGCGCAGTCAGAAACGGAGGTGCGGGAGTGTACATTGAGTATTCTAATAATACCAGGGATACAGCCAAATTACCAACGGGAAAGCACTGTCACAACTATGATGCAGAAGTTCAAGCCATCAAGATAGCGGTAGAGAAACTACTAAATACAGGGTATTTTTCACAACCAGTGGTATTCCTGACAGATGCAAAAGCAGTACTTCAGTCACTCCAGTCTGGAAAATTACCAAGCATACGGATACTATTATCCAAACTAGGCAACCGCTGTAAATTAGTAATGCAGTGGATACCTTCCCACTGTGGAGTTCCCGGAAACGAAAAAGCTGATAAACTAGCTAAGGAAGGTGCAACTGAAGAACAACCTGACATACCAGTCTCTTATCAACAGAAGAAGAGAATGATCAAATCAATCAGAATGCCACCGAAACTGGCACAAGATGATTACCATATTATGGACAGACCAGAGCAAGTTATTATCCTTCGCCTTAGAACAGGGCACAATAGACTTCGCTCCCACATGTACAACAAATTTAAGATTGGCCAATCGGCCATGTGTACTTGTGGACTGGCACCTGAAACAACAGATCACATCCTTCAAGACTGTCCCATATTCAACGCTTTCAGGCAAAACATTTGGCCAAAAGAGACACTTGTGGAAGTCAAACTTTACGGGCCGCTTAGTGAATTACAAAAGACAGTGAAATTCATACAAGAGACGGCTTTGCAGATATAGACAATTTATTTCATGCGAACGAAAGAAGAAGAAGAAAATATTTGGGGAGCATCTTCACAGATGATGGAAGAATTGATAGGGAACTTGAGGCAAGATGTCAAAAGGCGAACGCAGTAACTTACCAACTCTCCCCACTGCTAAAACACCCAAGCATCACTATGGCACTAAAACGACAACTGATAAATTGCATGTTTATACCAACCCTCTGCTACCAATGCCAAACCTGGTCCCTAACAAGAGCACAGGAGAAAAAGATCACGACGTGCGAAATGAGATGCTTACGTAAGGCTGCCAATGTCACAAGGAGAGACAGAGTTCGAAACGAGAACATTAGAGCAATTGTAGGAACAACACCATGCCTGCAATACATAAAGAAGCAACAAATAGAGTGGTTTGGCCACTTGATGCAAATGCAAACCGACCAACTGCCTCTACGAGCATACAACGAACAGCACTACTGCCCTAGAGCAAGAGGCAGACCGAGAGTACGATGGATAGACAATATATCAGAGATCCTGAAGCAACACGGACTAACAACAAAACGTGCAACACACCTGGCCCAGGATAGAAAACTGCGACTCCCCACTATGCTGTGAGGCAATTGTGGACAAGACAAGACAAGACAGAATTAAAAATTGTAAATCATCAGTCCGCTGGCTTGAGATAATAAAGGGTCATAAAAGGTCCAACAATTAAGTAATGAGTCTGATTTTATTATGGCCAAGACAAAAATGCCATCTATGAAGCGAGGCATGAAATCTAAAGAGGCAACATTCATCTATGATCTAGCAACTTTCATTCGCAGCCTGATAAGCAGACAACAGACAAGCTGCCATTTTGCTGACTTAGTCAGAGGTGCATTGTTACATAATCAGCATGGAGCAAAAAGCTAACATTAAATTATGGTTTAAACTCAGAAAAAGTGTCATTAAAAAAGTTGAGTTGATGTGACACGTTTATGGTGATAATCGTTTATCTTGTGCACAGATTTGCAGGCAAGGAAATAAAAATTGGAATTTTGAGAGCATGCATCTTCCCTGTGGTTACATACGGATGTGAGTCGTAAACTATCTCTCAGTCCTTGAGAAAGAGAATAGGAGTTTTTGAGCTGAAATGCTATAGAAAGATTCTCAGAATATCTTGGACAAAGAAGATGAGAAATACTGACATCTTGAAAGATCTGAACATCAAGGAAGATTGGCTAATAAACAGCATCCTTTCTTGAAAGCTGAAATATTTTGGTCATATCAAGCGCCACAACGGATTGGAAAAAATTATAGCAGAAGGCATGGTACCAGGAAGGAGGGGCAGGGGCCGACCCACACGAAGATGGGCACAGGATATAAGTGACTCCTTGAGTGTGAAAGTGTATGAGGCGGGAGAACTGGCAAGAGACAGAGTTTCTTTCAGGCAGACTTTGATGAGAGCGACGCTCTGCAAAGGACCTGTGAAATGATGATGATTCACCATTCAAAAGGGGCGTGGAAATGATTACTAATGCAAATAGACCTGCACACTCAATTTTTGTTCGTAATGAGGAACTTATTGCAAAAGTCATAGAATGGATACAATAAGATTGTTGTTTGACTGTGAGGATGACGGCAGATGAATCTGGTGTTAATAGAGAGACCAGTTGTAAAATTTTAGTGGCAGATTTGGGGAAGAAAAAAGTTGCTTGCCGGTTTGTACTACATTTGTTATTTTTAAGCCCCGCCCTGGCTTTAGCAGAGGGCCGTAATATAAGCTAACGGTTGAACGCGGTTTCTAAGATCTCTCCACAGATGATCCTCATCAGCATGGTGGCACTTTGTGTCACCGAGTGTTTATCGCTATGTGTGATGTCCTGGTGGGGTAAAATTTACTTACTTACTTACACACACACATACTCAGCATATTTATAAACAGAGAAATGCTTCAATCCTTCACACTCTGACTTAATAAAAATAGAAGCGGAGATGAAAATAGGGCTCACTTTCTGAGAGGAGAACAGCTATCAAGTGTGCCCTTTATAAGAACTAATAGAGGAGGAAGGAAGGCACTGTAAATGCTGAAAACTGAATAAAAAAGAAGGGGGGGGGGGGAGTTTTAAAAAAGTTTTGGGGGTTTTTGGACAACGGCATAAGTGCTGCGTGAAGAGATTGGGACCTCACCATGTAATATTCCCAAAGACAACAATGGTACAATAACCAACTTTCACTGTGGAGATATAAGTAAAGGGCTCTTTTCCCTGCCTTTAGGAGTATAGGGCATATAGGGCTAGACCTATATTTTTATAGACCAATTAGCACAAGATGGGTGATGTGGTCAGCATCACGCCAGCCGCCTCTTCTTCCAGGGACTGCACCTGGTATCTTCTCAAAGAAGTCGTTTTTTTTTAAAAGTCCAGCTCCGCCAGGGAATGAACCCACGACCTTCCGATACGTGGCGAGTGTCTAGACGCTCTGCCACGGCGACTCCAACTGTGGAGATGGCACACATAAAAACAATAGTATTAGTATTGTACTTCAAACGATCATATACTGATATTAGTATTGTACTTCAAATGATCATATACTGATATTAGTATTGTACTTCAAACGATCATATACTGATAATAGTATTGTACTTCAAACGATCATATATTGATGTGCCTGTTTGTTTATAATAAATACTTGATAAAACTAAACCAGATTTTCTTTGCAACCATTTAAAAACATAGCTTACTTTAAATTTGTGAGATTATATATTCTGTAATGTCTTACTCTTGTATTAACTAACTTTTTACACGTGCACACACACTTATTATATTCGTCGTCCCCCTTGTGGATGCACATTTTTTTTTTGAAGCTCCACCCTGACTGTTGCCAGGGGCCGCAATATAACCTTACCTAACCTGGGCGAGGTCCTAATCTCTTCACCACAACACTCATGCCGTTGTCAGAAAACCACAAAAACTTTTTTTACCCCCACCCCCCCCCCCCTTTCCACAGGAACAAACCGGGGAGGGGGAGGGGTCCACGCAATTTTGAAACTGGGTGCATTGTACTTGTAATAATCAGGATTTTTAGTTTTAAGTCAGGAAAACAAAAAATAGTGCTGCTAGCTTGATGAGGAGAGTGATTTCTGTTGTGCCATGTCCATCTTCAGACCAAAAATAACAAAAATCATTCAGACAAAACAGTGTAAACCATCACATGGATATTTGGATCATCAGTTGTTGGTGATTGTTTCTTTTGTTTTTTTTCATACTTTTAATAATTTGCATGTTTTTCACCAAGTTTCTTTAATCAGCACTTAGGATGTTTCTTTTAATCTTCCTCTTTTTAATCACACAAATTCTTATTCTGGGTGAGAGTAGGGCGTGAGGTCTTGCCATATTATTCGTTGGGAAAGGAAGGGGGGGGGGGGGGGGGGAGAGAGAGAAAAAAGGCTGGAGACCACTGCTTTAAATTAACCAGCATCTATTCTATGAGGCTGTACTGATTCAAGAACCATGCTGGTTCAGTAAAAATTATGCCGCCTATGGGGACAACCAAAGAGATTGTGCTATGTCGGAGCAGTATTATGACGGATAACGATTGCAGCCTCGACCGGCCCGCTGTGCTTGCAATGATTTAATTATGGCTGTCATTTATCCAGGAAGACAGATCTCTCATTAGCAGGGGGCTGCAAGGGCCTAGAGCAGGGCCATTCAACAAAGTTTAATCAGGGGATACAATTTTGAAAATTTGGAACATCACGGACCAGAGTCCCAGTACTGAAAGGTCATTAATACCGGTGATCCGCAGGCCGCTTACTAAACCTCTGCAGGCTGGATCTGACCCATGGACTGCCCGGTCTTCAACAAATTTGCCTCTAGAACCAGAAGGGTTTTTTTCCCAGAGAAAAATCAACATATAGAGCTAACTCAATGGCCATACACAAATGAAATGCAATAACACCATGCTAAGGACTCTCTAAAATATCAGAAATGATTATTATATTTTCTACTCTAACCTTAAGTAAATCCAAAGGATGAGTACAACAAGCGGCCATAGCACTAGCAACACCTCCAAAATACCAGTGGCCTATCCTCTTGGTTTTATCCACAGCTGTCATTTTGTTTGTATTACACTTCCTCACTTGCAGGCACTAAAGCAAACAAAACAAAAACAAAAGTTATTTAGATGGAAATAAAGACTACAATTAGAAATTTGCAGCAAAGCATTATTTAAAAAAAAATATGTATAAAAACTTGCACACAAAAAATAAAAAATTAGTTATTAAACATTGCCAGGAGTCATATCAAATTAGCCAACTTGTAAAGGTATTTTTTATCTGTGTAATGCTATTTGTTTTAATGCATGGCAGACTTGATCAGTGCACACACACACACACACACGCAAAAGATACAGCGTTGGTGTCTCTTTACTGACTCACTCACACACAGGCAAACATGGATTTGAGAGATACTAAGAGTGTATCTTATATATATATATATGTAACACACACACACACCATGGTTTACATGTGGATCCAGCCTAAAATAGGTCCTGAGAAGTAAAGATGGCCAGAATGATGCTTATCACATCACCCATCAAACGCTGATTGACCTATTTTACTAGGAATCTACCATCATATGCCTGATTTGCCACTGGCGTAAAATGGGTCCTTAACTTACTTTATATATATATATATATATAGATAGATAGATAGATAGATAGATAGATAGATAGATAGATAGATAGATAGACAGACAGACAGACAGACAGACAGACAGACAGACAGACAGATAGATAGATAGATAGATAGATAGATAGATAGATAGATAGATAGATAGATAGATAGATAGATAGATAGATAGATAGATAGATAGATAGATAGATAGATAGATAGATAGATAGATAGATAGATATAGATAGATAGATAGATAGATAGATAGATAGATAGATAGATAGATAGATAGATAGATAGACAGAGAGAGAGGAATAAATCTATAACCACTCTAAAAAAAATTTAAAAAACAGATTTGTATAACTACTTCTGTTTGTGAAACTTCACAATTAGAAATTTAATCCAGACCAGTTGACTGAAAGGTGAGTGCTAACCACTCTGCTATAAACCCTAAGTGAAATAAACTTTTAAAATATAAAAAAAAAGGCAGAACATTTTCTGCAAGAAGCCATTGAAATGTGATTTTACAAGCAATTATTGAAAACATTGATGGAGGGTGTGGTTTACATAATATGAGGTAAAGGCCAACCAATGCAAAGGTGCAAATAGCACAATGAAGATGCACTGGTTAGAAAGGCACAAACAGCAGGACAACTGGCAAGAGAAACTTTCAGGCCTGCTGTGATGAAAGCAATGTTCTGTAAAGACTGCTTTTTGATGATGTTGATTGAAAACACATGAATAAATTATTGACGAATTTACATCTCTGTACTTGGGAAATTCTCATATTTGCTCTGTCTCCTTCCTTAGAAGCTTACGAAGAGTGCCAATACTGATGGTTGAAAACACATGAACAGCAAAACAAGTAATTTAAATATTTTGAAAAAGGACAGGACACAAAAACATCAGAAGGAGGCAATCTATAGTGTTTGACATATTATTATTTTGTTTAGTAATTCCGGTATGCCGGGTTTAATCCCAGCTGCGGGAGATTTGGCATTAAACTGCCTAGTGAAATTACAAACAGCCTAAAAATGCTGGGGTTGATTCTGCAACATCCTGTACAGAATTTGCAACTAACTATAACATTCTGGTATTACTCAGTGCAGGCAGCAGACAAGGAATATAAAATAAATGACTGTAAAAGAAGATTATATAGTATATGATAAACAAATTAATTACAAATATACGCCAACAAACAATGGAGACTATACACCCCAATTATAACCTTGAGGGTTGAACAGGGTATCTTCTTCCGCATTCATCATTAAAAGGATGGTTTACATGTTGTGGGTTGCAGCTAGACTGTGATATTTAGCATGTTATGTTGTGATTTACAGCTACAATGTGATATCTGCACATTTCATCTCAACCCTAGACTGTGATATCTGCACCTTTGATCTTAACCCTAGACTGTGATTTCTGCACCTTTGATCTTAACCCTAGACTGTGATTTCTGCACCTTTGATCTTAACCCTAGACTGTGATATCTGCACCTTTGATCTTAACCCTAGACTGTGATTTCTGCACCTTTGATCTTAACCCTAGACTGTGATTTATGCACATTTGATCTTAACTCTAGACTGTGATATCTGCACCTTTCATCTTAACCCTAGACTGTGATTTCTGCACCTTTGATCTTAACCCTAGACTGTGATTTCTGCACCTTTGATCTTAACCCTAGACTGTGATTTCTGCACCTTTGATCTTAACCCTAGACTGTGATTTCTGCACCTTTGATCTTAACCCTAGACTGTGATTTCTGCACTTTTCATCTTAACCCTAGACTGTGATTTCTGCACCTTTTATCTTAACCCTAGACTGCGATATCTGTACTTTTTATCTTAACCCTAGACTGTGATATCTGCACCTTTCATCCTAACCCTAGACTGCGATATCTGCACTATTCAACTCAAGGCATCTGATTTAATCATACCCTTAATGGTCATCCTTTATGACAGGGCTATTTAAATGGTGGCCCCCTGGCCAAATCTGGCTCTAAAGGCCTAGTAAGTGGCTAACAGCACATTGCCAGTTGTAATCTTTCTGTGCTGGGACTCGGATCTCTGGCCCATAATGATCCCAGTTTTTAAGTGTTGGCCCCTGAGAAGACTTAGTTGAATAGCTCTGCTTTATGACTAACTTGTTGCAAAGGCGGTGGGGGTGTTCCTATTGTCTTCCCTCCACCAGTGGAGCCCTAGGATCCATCTGGGAAAACAGGATATTATTTATATGAAAACTATTACTATATGACATGAATCATTGGAAAGCAAGACCCAGTTTAGACTCAACAGAAAGCAACACAAAAAAAATGTCCCATCTAAGAACGGGACACTGTAAGCTCAACAACCAAATGTATAAAATAAAGACTGTACAGCCCCCACAGTGCGCATGTCAGACAGGACCACAAACACTTGAGCATATTTTGCAGGCCTGCCCACTTTATCTACAACTTCTAAAAGAAGCCTGGCCTCAACAGCAAAGTGTGCAGAGCAAGCTATGGGGAATCATGCATAACCTGCAGCTGACATGTGAGTTCACAGAGGCAGCCCACTTAACGGTCTGACCTGAGCATATGAAACCGAACGTAAAGAAGAAGAATAATTGTAGTTTATTTATTGGTAACTAAAATGGTTGTAGCTATTTTCCATCTATCAAAATCAATGGTGATTACATTATTACTACAAGAGTATTTTTACTCTAGTGCTAAATGGTAAACCGGACTGACATACATTTCTTGAAAACTATATTCTTGGATGTAAAAGATGATAACTTTAAGGTATACAGTATGAAATCATAAATGTGGATCACTATCTCAAGTTTAAAACATTTTACTAAGCAATTTTTGTTTTCGGTTGAATTAAATTGTTTGGCTAATGATAACAATGTTTCATTTTAATTTAAAATCAGCATGGAACACCTTGCGATTGAATACAAATTTAGGCTATCCTCCAAATAACGGTCGTAAATTATTGAGGCGGAAAATATACCCTAACAGGTCCTCAGTCACGTTTCAAAGGCGCACTTCCGTCGTCTTAAAATGCGCACTTACGGGGACTTCCGCCACCGCCGAATAGCAAACTTTCTGCAACTTCCGCCACCGGCGAGTGCCCCCCACGTGGTTCACGCTGTAAACTAGATGGCTAGGACTCAAACGAGCAGCAGCTACCGCATCTCCTGCAGCTTCCTTCATTTTATTTGCTCGTGAGTCCTAGCCATCTAGTTTAGCCCCAATCCAAGCCGCGTGAGCGGTGTGGGGGACACTCTCGGCAGTGGTGGAAGTTGCCGGAAGTTTGCAATTCGGCGTTAGCTTTATAGTCCTCGGAAGTGCGCAATTGACACGTGACTGAGGCCCAGTTAGGGTATATTTTTCGCCTCGATAATTTACAACCGTTATTCGGAGGATAGCCCAAATTTAAAATAATAATACTGGTGTAAGGTAATTAAACCATTACTAATATACAGTATAATATTACTAATACACATGCATAATTAATAAATAGTTCAGTGTGTTAGAACAGCAATAGTAACAATTTCACCTTCAGTGTCATTTAAAACAACTATTTAGATTATCTAAAGCTAATAATAATGAAAATTTATCCTTAATAATGGCTCACAAAATAACGAGAAACACATTCAATCATTAATTATTAATATTTTACTATATAAGGTTACTATAGTACTAGTTAGCATCAATCACGTTCGCTAAAAAGGTATGAGCTCTTTAAAACAAAATAATACATGACATTACTAGAATGAATTATAATATAATACACACAACATGCTTACCTATACTAAAAACTAGGATGTGTTTGTTATACACGTGACGTTGGTAGTTAACTAGTTTGTTGTGGTCTGTCTGGTGGCAGTATAGTGTAGTGGTAACATACAGCTACGGATAGCAGTACGGAAAGGGGAAAGTAACAGTGCCACGGTACGCCAACTTGGCGGACGACCAAAAGCGCGTGTAAGTAAAGTCAGACACAGTCGCTATTCTGGCATAACCGACAGATAGGAGATTTTAGAGAAAACACTCGAAAAATATCGCCTGATCAACTGTTACTGAACACCCATATGTGGAAAGTGGTTCCTTTCGGAGATTAGACGTGACCTAAAGTTAAAAGTTCAAAGGTTGCAATGAATTCGACCTAGACCTTCAGGTAACGGTAACTATTTTCTTGATTAACCCCTTCTACTCGGGCTGTTGACACTTGGGCTTATTTGTCGTTTCTTTAAAATAATTGTTTTAATAGGAATACAGTTTACATTTAACTTTCTGGAAAATGCTTTATAGTGAACCGGAGTGTCTACAAGTTGAGTTTCAAAAAGCTCTATATGACAGCATGAAATAAGTATTTGATGTATACAAATACAATAGCACAGTTAAGAGAGGCCGTAGATGCTGGATAGGAACTTCATCCATACTTTGAACGGCTGCATGGGAC